GGGTTCAGGAAGGTGACCCAGCAGCCTCGCTGAAAACGTGGAAGCATTAAAAAAGCTGACAGGGCCCACTCCTTGCGGCTAACAGAGGGGTGGGTCAGATTTGGGGGCAGCGTTTTAAGGAAACAACTGAGCAGTTGCAAAATGATGGTTGTCTGTATAGGCACCTTGAGTTTCCTGTTTGACCGGAACGTACTAAAGTGTTTGTTTATTGGTTGTGAATTTATTTCAAGCCAAACCAAACTCACCTTTCTGAACTACACCTTCTGATGCTTTACTTAGCTGTCATTCAAACAACCGGGTTCCACCAGGTTCCACCAACCCTTCTGCTCCTCGCTCAGGAGTTTTGAAAACCTGCTGAGGCGATGTCGCAGATCCGTTTGGTCACTGCCCTGCTGTCTTGAACGTGCGGTTATCAAACGCCCGCAGTTTGGTGGGAGGTGTGGGAGGAGGACCCGCCTGACTCGGGGTGGGCGGGGATGCGCGGCGCGCGGTGGCGCCGCTGATGCTCGGCCCCGGGTCTCGCTCGCAGGTGCTGGGCGGCGGGGAACCGCGAGGAGGAGGAGAATGGGCCCACCGCCAGCCCCTACGACTACAGGAGGCTCCTGCGCAAAACCTCCCAGCGCCGGCGCCTCGTTCAGCATGTGTAGCCCCGGTGCTCGGCGGCCAGCGCCGTCGGCATGTGCCCGAGACTGCGGAGCTTGCCGGAGCCAAGGCGGGGGATCCTCAGGCACTGCACCATGAGGCGCTGGGGCCGCAGCCCTGGCCTTGGCAGGGGCTGCCCGCTGTGCTCGCCCCTCGAGTGCCCGGACCAGCCTCCGGTGCTCGGAGGGCGGAGAGCCCTTCGGACGCCGCGTCTCCGCGCTCCCGCATCCTCCACTCCCACCAGCCGCCGGTTTGGGCATCCCTGGCCCTGGCCCTCAGTGTGTCTCTTTGTTCACTTGTTTGCGACTCCCGTGGACCCGACTGCGCCTGAGCTCTCGCCGACCCCTCCTCTCTCCTTTTGGGTAACTTCACTGATTTCGTCTTTCTCGGAAACGGCTCTGCCAGGCCCGCGGCGTCCTCGCTGACGGGTTGAGTCTGTGAGGACAGAACAAAGCCGGGGCGGGGGGCGAGGGGTGGCTTTGAAGATGAACTTCATCCCTTCCCTTGGTCATTAAGGTTATTAAATAAAGGAAGTGCCTTGGAAAGTTCGCGGCTTTCGGGGCTGGTCCGCTGGATTCCCCCTTGGGCCCAGGCTCCTGCTGTCCGGCTGTGCTGGTGGCAGGTGGCAGCGCCCAGGGAGGGAGGGTGCGGTGTCTTCGGTCTCCATCAGCGAACAACACCCCTGCCCCCAGCCACCCCAAACTTACCATCTAACGTAGAACCCCGTAATTGAGACACAAACGTGGCCTCTAGACAAAGCTCCAAATCCTGCAACACAGCGCGCTCACTCACACAGACTCTCTCTCTCTCACCCCACACAGCCCTCCCAACCGAGGTGTCCTCCTCTGGCCCCGCCTATAAAAATTCTAGTCCCGCCACCGAGCTGAACGGTCAGATTTTTAAGGTTCCCTAGTCTGCAGATCTGGGGCCGTCTCCACTGCTCTGGATTTTAGTGTATGTAAGATGGAGAGGAGGGCGGTGGGCAGGCAGCCTTTTGCCTTCTTCAGTCGACTGCATCTTATTTAAAAAACCCAGGTTAAGCTCTTCTATGGAAGTGACGCCCTTTGCGTCTACACAGCCCGGAGAGGGTGATGGAAAGGGGTGCGGTGGTATCTTGGACGGCGGAGGTGGGAGCAGCGTTTTGGCTGGAAGGGGGCTTGTCTCTTCTGCCGGCGTCCCGGGCTCGTGCGCCCGCGGCCCCGAGCCAGGGAACTTGGGAAAAATATTCGAGGGGAGAGTGAGGGCGCGTGCAGCTGGCCGAGAGCGTTAGTTGCGCCACTCGCCCGGTGGGTGGTACGGTTGTGTCCATCCCAAACAGTTGGCACGGAAAGGTCCCCAGCGGTGACGTGGACAACCCCTTCCTTTTACCAAGAGGACCCGCGCAAGGGGAAACCTCCCACTGCGGCAGGGCTGAGCTCCGAGGCCAAAGTGCGCTCAGGCCCCGGTCCGTATCCTGGGTTCACGCCGCGGCCTCCACCCGGAGCGAGGAGCCACCTCCGCGGTGTGGACCGTCAGCACGGCTGTGGTTGCGCCTGGCCTAGGCACCCACGAAAGCAGCGCTGCCGAGCACCATACCCTGGGGTGGGCGATGGAGGGGGACCTGTAACCCGAGGTGGCCCGGCCCCCTCGGCCACTTCTCACCCGTCCACCCACCACCAGGAGGCCTTAGGGGGGAAAATGAGCTCTGCTTCGTGGCCGGGCCTACTCAGTCCAAGCTTCCAGAGTGGCTCCTGCAGACCAGAGCCTTGGCAGCCCAGCCGGATGCTGGACAGAGAGGCAGTTGGGCCCCTCTCTAAAATCCATCCCTCCTCCCCCACCTTTTTAAGTGGGACCAGAAAAGGGAATAGCAAACACGTGCGGTGAACGGTTGCAATGTTTTTGTTCTCCTTTTTAAAAAAAATTTCTTTGTTTTCTCTCCTTTTTCCTTCTCTCTTTCCATCTCTCCTTCTTTGTCCTTTGACACCTAAGCGCTGGGAGGACACCAGGGAAAACTTGTAGCGCGCACTATTCTTCGGCAGGCCTGCAACGCAATTTCTGGGTAAACTACGGACAAAAAATAGGTCAGCCAAGGAAACCGGCCACCTCCGGCGGCCCCTGGCGCGTGGCTTTCTCTTCCCTTACTCGAGGAAGGGCCTTCGAAAGCTCTCCCCAAGCGCTGGCCCGCCTCCCCTTCCCATTCAGTGGCTGCCTCCTTTGAGAACTAATGACGGTAATTATTACCTCCCAGAGCTCTTTTGTTATCTCCAAACCCAGGCCCGAGTGAGGGGGGAGTGGGCTCTTTTTCGAGATGACAGTCTTCATAAAGCAAATTTTCGTCTAGGCTGGGCCGGCGTTGAGGAAAGACAAATCAGATACCGCGTGTATCTGAAGAGGGTGTGTTAAATAAGAAACGTAAATACCACCATTAGATTCAAAAAATACCCTGGAGTTGCGGGATTTAATGCGGTTTAAACAGTAGGATTTAAAGTCATCGCGTTAAAAAAAATCTATTAAATTCGGGCTTTGTGATTTCTACCTTTCTCGTATTTTAATCCGTTTCTTTCTTCGCGGCTTTGTGTGTGTGTTAAATACTTGTTTTAAAGAACCTTTTGGTTTTTGACCGCTCATTCATAGCAGAAAAGTTCAGCAACTCCAGCCTTGCTGACTCGAAGCAAAACGTGTGCAGGATTTGGTGTGTGTTTAAACAAAGGACGGGTCTCTCCGGCTCGCATCAGCGCCGCTGGAGCAGCAGCCGTGGAGCTGCTCTGCCTGCGGCGCGGATGGCCAGCCCGCGAAGCCCTTACCCCGCTGGAGTTGTCGCCTGGATCCACTGGAGCACTGGAGCCCGGATCGCCGGAAACAGGGGTGGGACGCAGGCCAGGGTTCGTGCCAACCGCGCGGCCACAGCTTGACGCAGGCTTCTCGGCACGGCAGGCTCTGCGCCAGGCCTAAGGCCGGACCCGTCCAGCGCCCTTCCCCGCTCCCACTCCTGGGCTCAAGGTCCGGAGGCCACGGTGCAGATCCTACGGATCCTCCAGGCTCGGGCACGTGCCCCATGGCCCATGGTCCCCGGGACCCATGACGCCCTTCCTAAGCGAGAGTCGAGGGGTGGTAGCCAAGACTGAGGATCCGTGGGTCTCTGCTTTAGCAGCAGCTTTGGTAACGTGGTTCTGAGAGCAGAGAAAGAAAGTCCTGTGAACACAGTGGAAATGAGAAGCGCTTGCCCAAGGGGAGCAGCACGCTGAGGAATGCTCCGCGGGAGGCCGGACGCAGCACTTTCCCAGCCACGGTCATCCTCACCCTCTCTCTGCGCACCCAGGAGCTGCAAGGCAAACTTGACACTGATCTTAACTGCCAAGGGAAAGCAACGCGAACTCAACGGGCCCCACATTCTCAAGGCGCCCTCCCTTTGTTTAACAGCTTGTAGAGAAAGGAAAATGTAAGAGAGGAGAGATTATGACTTTCTCAGGAAAGCAGAAACCCCTTACCACCAAGCCTCAGAAATAGCGAAACTCCCGTTTCCCCCCACCCCACCCTATCGTGAAGATTCCCTTGGGGGATCAGGTGGTCATTGATTTGAGGCCCTCTAAAACGAGGGCCCAGCAGGCCATGCCTTCTTTCCGCCTTTGGACAGCTCAGATTGCTTACTGGAAACTCGGTGCACGCTTCCCACGCACACACCGATTCCCGTGACACGTAAGCAGCGGGCCCTTGCGCGCCTCCGCAGGCCAAGGTCACCAAATGACCTGATCCCATCCCCCCATCGGCCGTCAACCCAGCCGGCTCTAGCTCTCTTCCCAGTCCCCTTCCAAGAAGTGTCCGTTCATTTCTCTGCCCAGGCTGAGGTCCTTGGTGATAGATTCCAGCATGGATTTTAATTGCCTCAATCAGCAGTTTTTCTCCCCAGCCGTCAGTCAGAACCTGGACGGTGGGTTCTGCGACCACGCGCTCCGAAGCTCGGAATGGTGCGCCCCCGGGGACTGCGCGGCTCAGTAGGCAGGCATTAGGCTCCACTAAGGAGCTGAATTGAGCCCATCAGTGCATAGATGCCCTTCCCCCACCGTCCCCTCCCCAGGCTCGCGAACCGCTCCCGATTCCGATTCTGGCCCAGTCGCCAGGGGTCCCGGGGTCACAGCGACCTCAGCACCCTCTTGGAGGAAGGCGGCGCGGGAATCGCGCCTCTTTCCCCGCAGCGGGAGCCAGACCTCAAACAATACACCAATCGAGGCAAATAGAAGACTGTCTCGACCACCCTTCCCGCCTCGCCAAGGTCTCTGGTCTACCCCTGCTGAGGCACGTGAGCACTCCGGACAGCGCACCCGGGCCCGCGGGGGCAGCCGGCACCATCACGCCTCACGCACGCCTGCCACCCACTCACTCTGACTCCAGCTCTGGCGCACTGTCTGCCTCGCACTCTCACGGTTCAGCTCCCTCCCTCTGCCGCTTTTTCTTCCGCCGTCCCCTTATCCTTCCCTATTGGGCTCCCTCTCCTTCAAAATCGCTCCGGCGCTCCGGGCTTTCCCATCTCCTGGCTGTGAGGACCCAGCAACTGCCTTCTCTGTTCAACCCCCAGAGCTTTCAGAGCGTTGCCACGTCTCTAAGCTCTAATCCCAGCACACACACACACGCGCGCACGCACCCGCAGACACGCACGTTTCCTGTCCCTGTGTGACACCCACCCTCTGCGGGGCGGCCGCGCCGGTCCCCGCGCGGTGTCCTCATCCCGCCACACACACACGCACACTCACACACACACACGCACGCGCGCGTGCAGGGCGGATTGGAGGGCAGCTCGCCGACAGTTCGCATTCGGAGGCGTCCTGCTCCAGCCTCGCAGAGCCGATGGCATCTCCCGGCTCCGGGTTTTGGTCCTTCGCATCTGAAGATGGTTCCGGGGATCCCGAGAACCCTGGCACAGGTAGGAGAACCGGGACCTGCAGGAGGCGAGCTTTGCGGGTGGACTGGGGTTTGCGGGGCTGGGGAAGATTGAAAGAGGTTTTCCCACTTGCAGTGGGAAACTTCGGACGCTTAGCCCTGCCCTCGGGGTGTGTCCCTGATGACCCAAGAGACCAAACCCCCCACAGGCTCTTATCCCCTGGGAAGATGCCCAGAGAATCTCTGGCCCTTTCCGCTGAAGCCTGGGAGAGCCCCCAAAACACGGCGGCGTCTCCTGGACACTGAACTCGCGGGGCTGGGGCACTGCCGCCATCGTCGTGTCTGGACCCTGGAGAGGGACAGAGTGGCAGTGGGGAAAAGAAAAACTGGAAAGGGGGGAGAATTCTCTGCCTGGAAGGAGAGCCTGTGAGGAAATGGACAGCCTCGGTGTCTAGGAGAACTCGCCCAAGCGAGGCAGGAAGGGGACTTTGCCCTAACCGAGTGGCACCTCCCGCGCGCCTCCCGCACCTGCCCGCTGTGCGGGGCCGCAGGCAGCCTTTCCCGGACCCCGTTGACGTTGACGTCGTTCACAAAGAACGAAATTTCACACGTCTTTCTGCTCTTTTCTTACGGCCTCGCCCTCCTCCTGCCTGTCTTTCCTTGCAGCGAGGGCCTGGTGTCAGGTGGCTCAGAGGTTCACGGGCGGCATCGGAAACAAGCTGTGCGGTGAGTGCCGGTGCCCGGGGGAGGGAGGCGGACGTGGCCAGGCGCCTCGGAGCCCGCGGGGGGCAAAGGCACCTTCTCATCTCCGCACCCCATCGAGGGTCGGAGATTCTTGATTTTTGGCCGGGGACGGGCGGGGTGCTGGGAGCCGGGCCGGCGGGCGGCTGACTGAGGTCCGCGCTCCGTGTGCTTGCCCAGCCCTGCTCTACGGGGACGCCGAGAAGCCGGCAGAGAGCGGCGGAATCCAGCCCCCGAGGGCCGCCTCCCGCAAGGCCACCTGCGCCTGCAACCAGAAGCCCTGCAGCTGCCCCAAAGCGGGGATCAACTACGCGTTTCTACACGCAACAGGTAAAGGCGCCTCGCGGGGTCCCCGGGAGCCTCAGCCCCTCGCCCTGACCCGCCCACCGCGGCCAGGAGGGACCCCGCGCCGGGAGCTTGAGCCGGGGCGTCGAGTGGAGGGCGGAAGCGGGCCTTAGGAGAACCTTAAGGCGACAGCGAGAAAGGCTGGGCCTGCCCCCCTCGGTCCGACCCCGACCCCGACCTCTGCTGGGCGCTGGGCGCTGTGCGTCGGGCGCTGGGCGCCCGCGTTCCAAGGGAGCTCCGGGGCCGCGGCGCTCTCGGCCGGGCGCCGCCCTCGGGTCTGCGGTGGCCGAGGCGCCCGCGCGCGCCCTGGCTCCAGGTCCGCTCCTCGGTGCCGCTGAGGCCTCGGGTGGGACGCAGTTTCCAGTTCAAAATTTCTGAGACTTTCTAGGTCTTTATATCGCAAGAGTAATTTGTAGCTGTATTTTCACAGGAGAACGATTCACATGAGACCTGCGCGCCGTTTTACTCCCTTGCGCTTACACACGCGGTCACCCAAACATGCGCGCGCGCGCGCGCGCACACACACACACACACACACACACACACACACGCTGTCTTTGGAAACAGTGGGCTTTCTTAATAGGCCAGAGATCCTAACATTGCATGATCCACTTTGCCTGATATGCCCAAAGGCATTCCTCAAACATTCCTGACTTGAAGTGTTTCCGTGATCATTTAAGAAGATTTACTGAGAAATAACATTTAGCAGGAACGCTGGGGAAACAAATGAATGGAGGCATAGTCTCTTAAAAAAAAAAAAGAAAGAAAGAAAAAGAAAAGAAATAAGAAAGGAAGTAAGCAAACAAGTTATGAACTGAAATGCAAGAAATAATTTGGGGTAGGGAGAGGAATCGGAATTTTTTTCATTCCTTCATCTTTGAAGAATCCCTCCTCTTTAAGAAAATGCTCTCGTTTCCAGAAGATTTTTTTAAAACGTAAAATCTCTCGGTTCAAAGAGAAATTGTCAGCTGACAAACTTGCCCTGGATAGTTTCATTGTAAAATTAAAATGCAGCATTTTGATTCCATTCTTTAGACCTGCTACCAGCGTGTGATGGAGAAAGACCCACTTTGGCATTTCTGCAAGATGTTATGGACATTTTGCTTCAGTATGTGGTGAAAAGTTTCGATAGATCAACCAAAGTGATTGACTTCCATTACCCCAATGAGCTTCTTCAAGAATATAACTGGGGATTGGCAGACCAACCACAAAATTTGGAGGAAATTTTGATGCATTGCCAGACAACTCTAAAATATGCAATTAAAACAGGTATTGTCCAATCAGAAATAATAAAGCTCTTTTTTCTTTTAAAGCTTTAATTTTTTCTATAAAAATGTTTCATTTTATGGAGTTAGTGATAATTTCAGATTTACAAAGTTATTTTTGTCATTTAAGAAAATAGTCATGATTAGAATGATTAACATCAATAGCACCCTTTGCTGTTACTGTTCGTGCTTGTGAAGTTGATAACGTCAGAAACGTTATCTACGTATAAATCATCAGATTTTACACTGCACTATTTGACCATGGAAATTAACCACTGATGTAGAAGCAACCATTTGTCAACAGAGGCCTGTAGAAATGACCGAAAATAGGGAAAGAGAGGGAATCTCGAAATGAAAGAGCAAAAGGCATGCTCCAAACAAAAGCCCAAATACCAGTGCAGTGCTGGTATTTCCTTGGCATAGAAAGCATCAGAAATTGGACAAACCATCCATGTAATGGTTGAAGCAGCAGGATAATATTTTGGCATTGTCTCAAATGACCAAGACTTCAGATGTGAACTCCAGGTTTCCTCTATTTTTAAATAAATGTACACAAAAGAAAACAGAATACAAACTAGCTTAACAATTCAGCCATGTTCTACAAGGATGTTCATGCTTCCTAACCATTCTGTATATATGACAAAGAAAAAAGGGATAGAGGAGAATCAGATATCCTTAAGGGCAAACATTTTTAGTCTATTTTGTATTTATTGCTTTTTTATAGTATTCTTCACACTCTATCCATTTTATAGCCCCAGGTGTAACATTTATGTGGGTGCCCTCTAAGCTTTTATTTTATCTACACAAAGTCAGCTCTTCATCTCCCCAGGTTTTGATTACCCCTTCGTTTTCTACTTTGCCTCTAATCATCCTGATACATGGTGGCACTACACTTCATTAAAGCAATAAAAATAAATGTGAATGAATTTGGGGGGAGGGGAGATCTTGTGGATCTAAATTGATTTTTAGCCTTAAAAAAGATTTGCTAACAAATAAATATGTAAAATATCACAAAATATTAATTTCCCTAGAAACTTAATCTTTTTCTTTGCAAGTTTTGAATTACATGAATTATCAGTATCATTCTAATCAACAACAGATTTTAAGAATGTTTGCCGTGTGACTTTTAGCCCTTTGTTTTGTTTTGTTTTGTTTTTGCACGTCCTTTTTACCAACAGAGAGGAAAGATTTGCATAGAAGCCTTAGGAAATTGATTTCCTGTACTATTATTATCCACTTTTGTGAAAGTATAGGCTTAGAATTAGATACATAGGGAAAAGAATTTAACTCGGAGATTTCTATCAGACTCAATCTATGGAATATGAATTTTGACGACTTCTTAGATTTCATTCTCAATTATATTCACAGAGAGTCCACATGATGTGTGTACTAGGTACTAAAGATGGTTTTTCTTCCAGATTTTCGTGTACCCGTAGGTGCAAACCTGAGCAATGCTTTTAGTTCATTTGTATTTGATCTATTCCCCAACCTAATATTTAAATACATTAACAGTAAATTGCTACCTATTATTTTGATTGTTACCAAGCCAAAAAGAATCTATAAAAATGTTTCACGTCTTCATCCTTAAAAGCTGGTGGTGTCTGAAATGCAATTTAAAGAGTTAAGATAATGGAAGTTGTAGGTCAATGATAGTAATAGTTCTGTCAGTCAATGTTCCATTTAGTGTCGGGAAAAGATGGGCCAACTTAACACTTAGATTTTGCCATAATGCTTGTGAAACTGTTGGTCAGTGTAGCTCTAATGCATTTTATTTAAAGGTCAGAAAAAGTAAGATTGAGCTGGATTTCTGACCAAGGCATATCAATATTAATTCAGTGTCAATATTATTCATAACATATGTAGTCTTCTGGTCCTTCCCCCCACCCCCAATAGCATTTCAAGTAATTAACAGCTGTCACCTTCCTTTTTGACTGGCAAGTTTATAGGTTTCATGCTGTAACTTGTATTTGACAACTAGTACTATTTAGGGTCTGTGAAGCAGTTACCATCACTGCTACCATTAGGTGTGCTAATGCCCCTCAGAAGATTCTTTTATAAAATGCATGTTATCACCTGCTTTCTACTGAGAGTCTTTAACCTAATTTCCACTTGGACTCCAGGCTTAGAGAGAAGTGAGGGGCAGGGGGGAAGTCTTCATGCATTGTTAAAATTACCTCTGTAAGGAATGTTGCAAAAGAAAACTGAGAAGTGCAGAGAATGATAAAATTCTGGAATAATTAGCATTTGCTAGGGTCATTGGGTTTGCTAATGGTGGGGTGGGGTGGTGGAGGGCTTAATCTTGTCTTCAATCTCTGAACTCAGCCATGAGACAAAGGCATTGAAGCATCAGTAAACCAGGCCATCCTTGGGTGTGTGTCGCGGGTCCAGAGAGAGCAGCCTGGACCGACTTGGGGCCCCTTCCCAACGGACACCAGGGTCAGAGCTGCCTGCGGCTGGCTGTTCACAGAGTCTGCGCATCCTTCCTGGCTCATTTGCTGATCTGTGGGGAGTGGTCCAGAGGCGGGAGCAGCTCTAATCTCTGGTTTCAAACTCGCTGTCTCTGGCGGCAGCGCGTGGCCACCCGACTCCTTGGCCGGGTGCTGGCTCACAACATGGGGCCGGCGGGGTGGGCAGCAGCAGTAGCGGCTACGACAGCAGGCAGGCAGGTCTCAGGGAACCCTACCTGGATTCGGCAGCAGCCTATAGGTTCATGGGAAGCGAGCAAATATAATATTTCTGCAGAAATCAAGAGGACACGTTGTTGTGATTTGTCAAAGCATCTCCCTGCGTGTTTCCCCATCGTTATCAGTGAATGCAGATTTTGAGGCAGGAGAGATTTAGGTGAAATAGACCAAGGTCAAAAATTTATGGAAGAAGGAAGCCAAGCAAATGAAGCATCAAAGTTCTTTCCACGGTTTCCGGAAGTCATCAGGGTGAATTGACCTTCTGATTACCGGGGGCACAACACGTATCTTGGGATCCCTCTCAATTTTATGCAGAGGTTTTCATGCCAACATTTCCATAGAGTTAGTGTGTGATCATAGATACCAGATTTGTCCAGAAAATGCATGTGAGTTGGGAGAGTTGATTAATGGATAGATTTGCTAATCCTTATTAATTTCCTCGCTTCAAAGAAATGGCTTAGGGAAAGAGGGATGAAGGGGCCTCAGGAGGGAGAAGAGGGCTATGATTTCAGCTGTGAGCGCTAATGAAATGGGGAGCAATGAGGCGGAGAGGAGTAGCAGGAAGCCTGTTTCCCTTTCTGTGGATGCGCAGACTGACAGGGTCAGCATCAGAGCAAAAAGCTTGAAGGGCACCGTGCAGGGCCAAAGGGAGGTAAAACAATGCCGGAGAACGAGCGAGAGCTGCCCAAACCCCAATCTCTTTAAGATGTGCTCTTTCCCAGCTCCTATCTCTTCTCGGGGTCTCATGGTCTGGCCACATGCCCGCGGCTGATAAGAGAAACGCTCTGGTCCTGGTCCGGAGATCAGCTTTGTGTTGACTTTTGTCTCTGCTTTCCCCATTGCCTTCCTTTATCTTGTTTTGTCCATGCTGGCATGGGAGACTGTCACATCCCCAGGCTTCAGACAGGCGTCCAGTAAGTGGCAGATGCCTTTTCATCAGAGGCTATTTCCATAATCGTTAATCTTCCAAAATTTTTGCTGCTAAACAAATCACAGATTTATAGATAGGCTTGTGTGGGGCAAGACAAGGAAGTGGAATTCTAACGAGATCTTTACAATCACATTTTAAGTAATAGCCTCAGGAGTGTTTGCGTGTCAACCCCTTTAGAGAGTTTTAGAGGAATCCAGGAGTTAAGTAGATAAGCCTGGCTATTAGACTGATCACTCCATTGACTATACCTTCCTGTATCTTGTTGACAAGACAGTGATGTTGACTGTATTTAGCTTTATTTTGAATTGCAACTACGAAGGAGCTCTGTTGTTTATGATCGAATATTCAGACAGAAAAGAATTGACAATTAGGTCTGTTCATATCATCTTTAGACAGTCATCACCTTTTGAGTCCAGGGCAAACCACTCAATAGAGTGTCCTATTTTCTCATTTTTGCCTTGTCTTTTCTGATCATCAGCCATTTGTCACTGATATTACCATGGATGTTAGCATGCCTGGCGGATGTCATGGTACATGACTGATTCCCAGGACAGGTTCAACGGAAAAGGAGTTTTTAACAGCACAAGTGTAAACAAGAAGTCGCCTGTCTTTGAATAGCTTTGGATTGCACCAGCATTTGAGTTTGCAAATATATTGAAAGAATGCTAGAAAATAAACTAGTGTCCACATTGCAAATCACGATTATTATTTTTTTTATAGGGTATGTTTAAAGGAAGATTTTTAGAGTATGTTTTAAGAAATATCAAAACCCAAAACAGTTTCTCTTGTTAAAGGAAATGCTCCTTTGGGATGTGTGTGTGTGTGTGTGTGTGTGTGTGTGTGTGTGAGTGTGAGAGAGAGATGGGTTTCTGAGTATGCATTTCCTATTACTGAAGGACCTTTCAAGGTTCTTTAGCAGAGAAATCATGTGTTTCGGAAGCATTTATTTTCATTGGATTCATCCTGATTCTGGTGTTCTGTCTAATTCAGGGCATCCCAGGTATTTCAATCAACTTTCTACAGGACTGGATATGGTTGGATTAGCAGCAGACTGGCTGACATCAACAGCAAACACTAACATGTAAGTAGCTAAACGTGTTTTTGTGTAATCCAGGATAATTATTAATGAGATTCCATAATCTTTATTCTACCTCTCATGTGAAAAATCTCTTTTTATTAAGTAGCCCCTAAAATAGTGAGACGAACTTCAGAGGAGTATAGATGTTTACTTTAGCTTAAAAGATAGTCCTGATATATCTTTCATGCAATCAAAGTTATACACCATGTTCTAAACACCAAAGGGACATTTTGGGGCATGTTGGATTTATAATTATGTATAATATGAGAGAGCAATGGGACCGGATGTTGTCTTTTAGATAGTGTTATAATGTTACTTTGCAATATATTTATTCACTGTGATAAATGACCCTTGCTCATTAAGCCAATGATTGAAGCTCTTGACTTTAGGAATATAGAAAACTGAGCAAAACATTTTTCTCTCTGCCCAGTGCTATAATGGTAAATTGTTCTGTAGATTGAAATTGTTCTGTAGATACCGTAATGATGAATTATTCCTTTGAGTTACGGACATAAAATGTGGCCGTTACTACGTTTCAGGTTCACCTATGAAATTGCTCCAGTATTTGTGCTTTTGGAATATGTCACGCTAAAGAAAATGAGAGAAATCATTGGCTGGCCTGGGGGCTCTGGCGATGGGATATTTTCTCCTGGTATATGATATTTTAACTTTTCTTTGTGTTTTTTTCTTCTGATATGTCATGCCTTATTATGAACCTAGAAATGATTAAATATCTAGTCTGTGTTTCTGCATTAGGTTAAATAGGCTATATACTGATCAAAGGAATGACTGTAATTAAGTGCATGTGACCATTGACCACACCTCCAAGCCAACTACACCATGCTTGAATATTAATTATTTGTGTTCGAAAAAAGCATAGTCAGCAATGGTATTAACCCAGTACTTCTACTGTGATCCTACACATAGGATATGGATCATGTGGAACAAAGGAGGAAAGACTCCTAATAAGGGAATTATAGAATAAGGAGAATTCCCTCTCCCAAGCATCAGTGAAAGGAGGAGTTTCTTAGAGCTAAGAGAGAGGGTGACGATTTCTTCAAGAGGTTTCTCATTCTTTTGCTTCTTTATGATGTCATTCAATCTTCCAGTCTTTCCCATCCTGCCTTTTATCACCAGCCATTGCATTCTCAGCTCCGTTATTTACACCTCTTCCAGCCAAGAAAATCAACCTGAGACGGAAAGTCCTGTTTTTGGTTCCTGGGTCTGTGTGCGTGACCTTGGTTTGATGCGGAGATGAAATAAAAGTTAGGAAGGCAGTGGGAAGAGAGAGAGTCACTGACCCGTGGAAAGGAAAGCTGGCGGGCAGACTGTCACCTCCTCAGCGGCAAGAGAGGGGTCTTCAGAATGGGTGTTACTGCCCCAGGGCTCACCCCACTGGGGAGGCCAGAGCCACACCAGCCACTGTGTCAGGCAGAGCAAAGGCCAAGTCGGGATCCCTCTTCAGCAGATCTACAAAGACAAGGGGATGATGAGGGAGAGAGAAAGTGAAGAGAAGGCAGAAGGAAGAAATGACGATGAGTAACAGTGGCCTCAGGGCCAAGTCTTAAATGAAGCAGCTTTATCTACAAGCTCAGATCGGCTATTTTATTTTCTGGTTTTAAAGCTGTAGCATATGTTTTCAGGTGCTGAAGGAAGATGTGTTAGTTAAATGAAAGGGAAAATTTGCCTTTTTTAATTTAAAGTCATTGAACACCAGCCGTGATGAATTTGAAGCTAGCTTTATTTTGTAGGGAACTGAGTATTTAGTGTTCCTTTGGAAAACCATCCCCAATTGAGGGAAGTTTGTTATCATTAACTGGAACTGATACTCTTAAGGTGTTTTTTCGTGAGGAACTAGGTAGGGTACAGAGATCAACGTTGTTTCTACCTTTATTCTTCCCTCTCTTGTAAGATCTGTTGTGTGATTGAGCTGTCCTGAGGCAACCAGGAGCACCTTGGGCTCTCTTTTAATGGTTCCCAAGAGTGGGAAGAGAACGGCTGCTCCTGTGGCCCCGGAAAAGGTGGCTAAGGGGGGTTGGGCCAGGCCTAACTTACCTGGCTGGTCTTGGGACCCACCTGCCCCAGAAAATACACAGCCAGAGAAAGACTCCTCTTTGGCAGTTCTGCTAAGCCAGATATGGACTAAGGGCTGCCACCCTCATCAATGGTGGGGAATGATCAGGTAGAAGAGACTAGAACTTGATCCTGAGGCTCCTTCCTTAGATCCTGAAGACCCACATGCTCTGACCCCAAGGTGGAAGCCGTAGATGCCAGGCTACAGTGTAATGTAGACCTTGCAAAATCAGAAGGGGACAAAAGAAAAGGTCATCAGCAACCTGTTTCTGCCCTGCTTTCTAGAAGGCGTTACAGAGGAGAGATGGATCATAGCATCCTTACTTGTTAATGGATGCCTTTCTGGGTAGCATCCAGCCTTATTCCTGGGGAAAGGGTCTTATGATTTAAGGGGTGGACATAAGGGAAATCACATATCTATGTGCCTGAGACCTGAGAGTCCCATTGCCTGGGACTAGACATGAAGAGTTAGGTCTGTGCTTGAATATATAGCGCAGCCCAGTGTCCTTACACCTCCATCTGTAACAGCCAGAGGCGACATGCTTCATGGAAAGTCCTTTGAGACTTCTAGAAGAAGTCTGTTTGCGGGATGTAACCCTCAGCCGGGACCCAGAGAGAACTAGAGAACGTCACCGCTCAGGGAAATCTTGCACAAACCTTTTTGTACCTAACAGGATTTTCAGAATGTTTCGGGCCTTGCTTTTGCACCCTTTCTCTGGGAGATTCCTGGGAAAGAAGAGCACGTAGGGCTCATGCATCTGTCCTCCTGCCTGTGTGACACAATGCAGTCTGCTCTGTCCAGAGACCCAGGAGCCTCTTCATCCCTCTCCGGATGGCTGAACCTTTAGATGGAGAATGACTGAGCCATGAGACAAAGAGTGGGAAGCAGAGTGGGACTCCCTGGACAGTTGTCCTGGGAAGTGCACTCTCTCTGTGTCCATCTTCCCCTTTTTCTTCCTCTCTCCTTTCTCCCCAGCCTCTCTGAAAAGAACTAGGGCAGTGGTTCTCAACTGGGAGCTATTTTGTCCCCAGGGGATATTTGGCAGTGTCTCTGGAGAAATTTTTGATTGTCACAACTCATTTGGGGATGGGGGGCATGTAGTCCTACTGGTATCTGGTGGGTAGAGGCCAGGGATGCCCAGGGAAGCCCCACCATAAGGAATTATCCAGCCTGAAATACCCCTGAGTGCCAGGATGGAGAAACCATGAGCTAGAGTGAAACTTCCTTTAAAAGCTGATCCTTTGCCCACCAGCATCCTGCACGGTCAGGCCTGCTCAGAGCAGGCTTGACCTGGATTCTAGTTGTTCTGTGTCTCTGGGGTCCGGAAGAGGTAGGGATTGCCCTCATTCTGACTGACGACAAAGCCAGGCTCTGGGTGACTACTGCTGTTCTGCCAGGTTGCCTGCTTGCATCAGAGCCCAGGGCAGAGACAAGGCAGAGTCATGGCCCTGCGTGGGCCATCCAGCTTGGTACAGAGAACCCTCCTCCACAGCCACCAGAAGGGAAAGGAGCTCAGAGAACTCACGTGATGGCAGAGCCCGGGCGCCTCCCCCTGTGGGTTGGGGGGGCTCGCTGTGTCTTCACTCTGCATCGTGGTCTCACAGCTCCCACACCAGCATATCCATGTGCATTCGCAACGATCTGTCTTTTACCTGGTTAGCAAAAATCCTAAACTTGCCAACAATCCTGGGGAGAAGCTCACTTTCCTTTGCTTGTCAAATGAAACTCTACTTATAAGATACAGATCTTATGGTATGAAATCCTTGCCAACCTCAGGATGACACATGAAGAGTAATTCAGTATGGACTTCAAATTCCCTTTGTTGTGTATTTTCCTATAATGATGAAATTGTAAGCATTAAAGTTATATTTCAATGATGGCATTGAGAGGGAAGAACCATTTGGGGGGAATTAACAGATGAATATGATGAGATGGGCTTGGATGTTTATCCTCATCCTATAAGGACTGTTAACAGTCCACCTCATTAAGAGCAACTGATTTCTCAGTCCAAGTGCAAGGCATTGCATGAAATGAAAAGTAATGTCCTCTCCAAATGTCCTCTCCATGATATAAGTTCATCACAGGCCTAATGCAGAATGACCACACTGTCAAGCCAAGAAGGAAGGCAACGCTTTTTAAGTTCTTAAAAGCCTCTTCAAAGGGCTCCTAGTAAGAGCAGAGTCAACTGCAGTTCCCCCAGTGACAGAGTTGGGTGTGGAGCGCTGGCATCCATCCTAGAGTTGGGCTAAATGCTCCTTCTCTGGACCCTCTTAGCTAGTGCCTTTGAGTCTGTGGATTCAACTCAAAGGACAGCCAGTAAGAAGGTATTCTCCTGTGTCCAAGGAGGACTCTAGGTCAGTGGAAATAAGGAATGTTGCTTGCGTGTGAAATGATGACGTTGACAATGACTAGAAGAGGTAACTTGTTGCTCTGCCCTTTAGGTGGCGCCATATCCAACATGTACGCTATGCTGATTGCGCGCTTTAAGATGTTCCCTGAGGTCAAGGAGAAAGGGATGGCTGCGGTCCCCAGGCTCATTGCCTTCACATCTGAGCATGTAGGTGTCAACGTTCTTTCCAAGTTTAAGGTTATATTCCTTAAAGCCCCGGTTAAAGGGATGGTATTTGGAAATACTTTACCCCATGGTTTCTCTTTCCAGAAGATACTTCTTGGGAGAGAATGAGGGGAGAGATCGGCTGGGTGGTAAAATGGGGTGAGCTGCTTTGTCTTTGAAATTCAAGAAAATGCTCAAAGAGAAAGCAGAATGCTTTTACCCCTCATTCCTTTACTTACTTCTCTGTAATAATGTCACATGCTGGGGCAATGGGAGGAGGAGAGAGGGTAGAGTAACTGTGAACTCATTGCATCATCAATGCTGTGCCCATGTAACTCAAAACTCCCAAGCATCCTGTTGATACAGTCTTTCTGTTATAAAGTTCCGATCAGGTATTGTACCCTCTTGGTTCCCTGAGACACTTTTGCGGCTGACTTAACCAGAGGTTTCATCACTGTAGAGAAATGGTCTAGTGACTGTCGTATCTCATCTCTGGGCCGGATCTGTGTCAGCCAAGCACAGGCTCCTGTCTACTGCCAGGCTGCTGTCCGGGCAGGATGCTGAGAGTTTGGTGCTCCAGGGAATGGTGCTTCACATTCCTTCCATGGCCTTTAAAGAGTTAATGCCGTCGTTCCTACTACCACTTAGGCACTGGAAAAATGGCCCATCCTGTGCACATAAATGAAGCCAAACAGCTTTAGCCTGCCAAGCCACCATCTTTCTCGCATGTGCCAGGGCAATGCAGCACACAAGTTCAAAGCCACAGAGCAGCTGTTTGAGCAAGGCCTTGGTGCCAAACTGTCCTGCCACATGTGACCTGCGGGGAACCAGAGTCTGTTCTTGACAGGTGTTCGTAAGCATCACCTGCTGTGGAATTCCTAAGATTGTTCCTTCAGGACATCTGCTTCAAGGTAGCCTGGAGTCTAGGAAACAATTGCCTCAGAGATTGAAAAGCCTCTGAGGGCCGGGGAGCTGGGAGACGGGGAAGGACTCAGATCTACCGCAGAACTTTTCTTTTTCCTATTTTAAGTGGTGTGTGTTTGTGTGTGTTCATAACAAGGAAACAAAAGGCAAGTACCGATGGGAAGCCAGTGAATACAATTCACAACCACTCCACTAGCCGTGGAATTAAAGGAAACGAATGATTTATCCTTAGCGTCTTTAGCATCTTGCTTTCAGTCACGTTATAGCATTTTAATTTAATGCCCTTCCTCGATTTATAGGCATCAAATTTAGCAGCCTCTGATGTTTTACTTTCCTATTGCTGCTGGAACAAATTACTACAAACTTCACGGCTTAAAACAACATGAATTCATTATCCTGCCGTTCCGGAGGTCAGAAATCTGCAGTGGGTCAGGCAGGGCTGTGTTCCTTCTGGATATCGTAGGAGAGCATCCATTTCCTTGCCTTTCCAGTTTCTAGAGGCTGCTTGCCTGCCTTGGGCCAGGGCCACTTCTTCCATCTTCAAAACCAGCAGCAGCAGGTCTTCCAGTCCCCTCGCCCCCGTCTCTGACCTCTGCTTTCATCTCCTTCCCTGGCCCCGATTCTCCTGTCTCCCTCTTTCTCTTGTGATTATACCCTGGTAACACAGGATAATCTTTCATCTCAAGGTCCTTCATCACACCTTCAAAGTCCCCTTTGCCATGTAAGGTAACAGAGTCACAGGTTTAAGGGATTAGGATGTCAACATCTTTGGGGGGCACATCATTCATGCTACCAAGCCTAGGTCCCCACCATGAGATAACTCTCATTTCTCAGCTTCTCCATGGGTAGAAAAGTATAAGGTAATTTGCCTTCCAATTACGATTTCCCTAAAGTGGATTTGGATCCCTAAATAGTTACATGTACTGTATTCTCAGACTAAAAAGCCCAGGTGATCTTATACTGGCATCTTCTTCCTTTGGTTTCCGTGCTGTTTCCACATCCTGAAATGAGGTTGACCTACCAGCAAGTTCCTTGTGCTCTCTGATTTCTGCACGAGTTTCTTGGGCTCAAGTTGGATGTAAGTTCACTCACCGTTGCTCAGAAAGTCCAGGTCATGTGATCTGAGGATAATTTTGCTATGCCTTTGTTCCTTGATATTGTCAACTTCGATCTCTTTCTCCATTTTCCAAGAAAAGAAAGGTGATTCAGAAAGAAATGACTACGGCAACCATTCGATCCTCCCGCCTCCTTCTGGTATTTCTATCTGTGCCCATAATTAGGGAAGAACATTTGAAAATTATGAACCTAAAGTACCAGTCGTTTCTGACTCAAAGATTATTTTGACAGATGAACTATGCTTCCAATGTACAAAACCTTATATCTGATTGCTATGGACCATTTCCAACTTCTAATAGACAAAAGTTCATCTGATTCAACCTTGTGGGCCCGGCAGGACAGAGATTGTTCTCAGCATTGTTTTTAAATGAAGAGGCTGCAGTTAGCTAGGTAGGTAGAGCCAGGATTAAGCAGATTTCCTGACTCCCAGACCAGTGAGGGCCCTGCCCCAGCTACCAGTGCAGAAACCAGATTAAAAGATACAGCGACAGAGTTTTATAAACCGCAGATCATCAACTGCTCTAACATTTTATACCTTCCCAAGTCAGATTTCCACCAAGAGCTTTTTCCTTTACGTGAAGGTGATGCTAAACTGTTCCTTCTCCATGCCCCCGCCACACACACACAAAAATCCTCCTTGATACCCATAGGTTGGGCTGGGAAGGGCTTGTAGAACTTGATTTAAAGAACTCCCATGTCTCCTGGAGCACTTGATCCAAACCATTCTGGACAGATGAGCCCTTAAAAGTGAGTCCTGCCTTGAAGCTCCAAGTTAAGAGGTAGCACAAGCCCCGTGTCTAGTTGCTGCTGGGCTCCAGACCTCAGGGCCATTCGACCCTATTCATCCTTTAGTACAGCTCCTTCTACCTTCAGGCCAGGCCAGATCTTTCCTTAGTCTTTTCGGATTTCACAGTCACTGTTCCCACTAGCCCCAGAAATAGATCTTCCCAGGCTAAAGAAAGAAAATTGCCAAGTCAGTTCTCAAATGCCTTTTCTCCAGGCCTGTTTCCATCTCTGCATGGAGGTTTCCTTCCTGAATCCCTTGACCTGCAGGGAGAAGGGTGATGGGGGAGCTGCTGTGTGGATCCTGTGGGGAAAGTGGAGGCCAATGGCCAAGGCAGGAGCTACTTCAGTTACGGTCTCTCTTTATGCTCTCGGAGAGTTTCCAAGGCCCAAGACTTTTGGAGAATCAAATGAGAGCCTTAAAAAACACTTCCCTCAGTGCCTGGGACATAGGGAGCTCTACATAAATATTAGGTAACTTGAAAACAACAACACCACCTTGTTTTATGGATGAAGAAGCCAATCCCCAGAGGTAAAAGATGTCTTGCCCGAGGTTTCGTGTCCAGTCAATGGCAGCATCAGCTCTAGAGCCTCAGTTTTCCGACAATCCCAACACTGCTCTTTCAGCTCCTAGGCTGGCTGACCTGATCGCCACTCTAGCTGGCTGTTCTCCATTCACTTGAAGCATCTTTTCTCAAATCCTGTTTTCTTCATGTTGGTTATTCTAATGCTAATACAATTTCCTGATCTATTGAACCAGGTCCAGTTACTGTCCTTTCTCCTATTCTCAGCACAGAGTTTATAACTGGATGTGGTTAGCACCATAGAGATGAAAATGGGGTTGAGAAACTGTCATCCTTCAGCACCCAGCCAGAAACTTCACATGTTCAGAAAGCAAAGGGTCATCTTTTGTTTTCTAGATGACACTTCACTCTGTCTCTGCCACATCGCACAAAGCTACCCATCACTTTTCCAGCCACCAAAACAGACTAGAACTTTCCCTAGCTGATAAGCAGGGCGAGCTGGGTTTGTTTTTTCGAATCAAACAGTTTTCTTGAAATTTGCATAGGACTAAATCAAACAAATAGTATTGCGATGAAGAACAGAAGAACATAAATCACTGAGTTGAAACAAGAGATAGCGTTTATGAGTTAGGAGCTCCAAGATGATTTTCCTCCAAAATGTAGAATCACAAAATTGGAAGGGATCTTAAAGATTATATGGTTCAGTACTGATCCTTTGCTGGAATCTCATCAAACTCAGCGATAGAAGAGCTTGGCAAAAATTAATCTGATGACTTTTAGGTCCTGTCTTGAAAGGAGGTTTAGAGGAAAGCTAAGATCCCAGCTCAGTAATTCACATCTCTCTCTCTCTCTAAATCTTCTGAAAGCCCCAACTGTGAGCTTAATTCCAAATTCCTCTTATTTCCTCATGTGACACAAGCTCTTCCAGAAATAACTTCAATGAAACAGCATAATCGCATCTAGGAAAAATGTTCCTTATAATCACAGCAGACACTGGGATCTTTCAGGCAAATCACCATAACTAACTCATTCCACTCTTAACACGCCAGGCTCAGCTCGGGTCCACGGCTCCTGGAACCCGTCACCAGTGTTCTTCTGAGGCCCCTCGTGACCTCAGCCCACTTCCATGGGGAGGTGATTCTCATAATTTGCCTTAGAAAGATGTTTTCATATAACCACACTTTCTGAGAGGGTTTCAATTTCCAAAAAATAGACGTCCTTTCTGTTAAAAACAAAAGCAAAAATCAAATGGTGACCCAGGCAGCTCGGAAAAAGCTCCCATGTCATGCTTCTCATTAGACAGAAACACTGACCGAACTTCCAGTAAGTGAACTAGTGAACCGGATTCACTTCACCCCCGGCACCCCGTCCTCCGCCTCTGCGTTCCTCCCTCCTTTTCCTTGTAGGGTCCTCATCACCCCTGTGTCATCTTCTCTTCTACCCAATCCCATCAAAACCTACTCTTAGGAAAGAACCTGAGAGCCATGTATATGATTGTAAAAGCTAAGTGTTGCCTCTCCTGGGGGTATTTTCACTGCAATAGGAGACAAAGGAATGAGGAGACATTCTCAAAGAGCAGGCATTGTACTGTCAGAGAAGAGACAAATAAGAAGAGGACAGTCACCCGTCGAAGTGCCCCTGAGGTCACATTCCTCA